TGCGGAGGAATGTAAATACTGACGAGAATGAATGAGCAAAACTCAACGAGCTCCAGGTAGAAAGTCAAACTAACAAAAACATAAAAACAACTGCGGAGCACGCCACGGAGGCAGCCATCACCGTCGGCGCCATCTCATTGTCCTCATTGTTATGCAAGTATAAAAGGCTGTACTATCTTATATGAAGACACATTTTTTTTTACCATATTATTTTTTATTAAATTCTTTGATGCGCTTCTGCTTGAAGGTTAACTAATGGCTTTTAATGATCAGCTAGTTGTTCTATTTCTCTCTCTCTCTCTATTATAAAAATAATAATAATAATAGTATTTATTTATGTTTTGTTTTATTTTCCACAGGTTCTTTCATTTGTGCCAACGAAATCCTCCGTTTTAGATGTTAATTTGATTTTTCTTTTTTGTTTTCCCCTCTTTGATTAGAGTGCCAGCATTGTCTGGTGCATTAGGTGTTAGGCAGTTTGCATGATAAAAACACTCTTGAAAAAATTGTATCTATATATTCATCCCCTCTACAGCACCGTTACTATATCCATAGATATGCAGATGGATGTTTTTGGCCATTGTGTGACGTCTCACTGTTTTTTGAGCATCCTGCAATGAACAATGCACTTTTAAGATGCTGTGACAAGTTAAATTAGTCCAACTTTTAAAAATGCTAGATGAGCAGTTGTCAGATTTGACTATATTGTGTGTTATAGCCGGCTCATTGTATTGGCCAATCAGAATCCATGACTGGAGCCATCTAGCCTTTTTTTGACATCAGAATATTAGTCAAAAGACCAGAGTCAACCCCTTGTTTTCACAGGAGCTGTGTTACATTAGTAGCAGAGCCAATAGCACTATGCACTATACGTTTTATTGCCAAACTGTATGTTAATGCTAATCTATGATGCATGATATAATCACTTCTTGTGAAGCGGCAGACAGTCGGTCGAATTAAGAGTCAGACGCAGCAAATCATTAGTGGTTGCTTTCAAAGCCAATTGTTTTGTCAATGAAGCACAGGCTATTGATCATCTTCATTTACATGGAGTGCTCGATCAGCTCCGCGTCAGTGTCAATAATCTGGCCTCTTTGGTTCCAGTTTTGTCTGTAGTTAGGCTCCTGACATCCTTAATTTATTACTGAGGTTTGAGCAACTTATGTACACTTAGCCACGGCTCCAATAGAATACCTGACTTGTTAGATTGGTATTCTGTCTGATGTAGCCCCACTGGGTTGGGCAGTGCTGATGCCATGCTTATTACCACAAGACTAATATCCTGTGGAAAGCAAAGTGCCCAGCACAGCGTCTTACCAGAAACATTCTGTTAAGATGGTTAATATGGCAGGCCAGGCTGTGCCAGCTGAGTGCAGAACACCTAAAGAGGATTAATATCTGCCTTTATCACAAGCAGCAGCCACTGCTTTCACTTAACTCCTATCTCCTTGATGAAGGTAGAGAGGAAATAACTACACACGAGTTAGAAAGTGTGAGAAAGCTTTCTATGAGAAAGTGGAACTTGATCTTGTAATGCGTTTTGGGAACTTAAACATTGGGTTTTGTGTTCATAAATAAAAATGTTCTAGCCTTTTTTGTTTTGTTTCAGTTTTATTAAAAAAAATTTTTTTCTTTGCTTTGCTTTTTATTATTTTATTTTTGTTGTTTTTTTCTTTGCTTTGCTGTGCTTTGTTTTTGTGTGTGTTTTTTGTTTTTTTGTTTTGCTTTTAGTTTTCAAAAGTTTGGGTAAGATAAAAAAAAAATGTTTTGAAAGAAGTCTCTTGACTTCTCTTGGCTCACCAAGGCTGCATTTACTTAAATCATACAGTAAAAAAAAAAAGGTAATATTGTGAAATATTAGGATTCAAAATAAATGTTTTCTGTTTTAATATATCTTAATTGTAATTTATTCCTATGATGGCAAAACTGAATTTTTAGCAGCCATTACTCCAGTCTTGTTGTCACATGATCCTTAAGAAATTATTCTGTCACTTTTGATCAAATGCATCTTTTGTTTTGCTTTTAGTTTTCAAAAGTTTGGGTAAGATAAAAAAAAAATGTTTTGAAAGAAGTCTCTTGACTTCTCTTGGCTCACCAAGGCTGCATTTACTTAAATCATACAGTAAAAAAAAAAGGTAATATTGTGAAATATTAGGATTCAAAATAAATGTTTTCTGTTTTAATATATCTTAATTGTAATTTATTCCTATGATGGCAAAACTGAATTTTTAGCAGCCATTACTCCAGTCTTGTTGTCACATGATCCTTAAGAAATTATTCTGTCACTTTTGATCAATTTAATGCATCTTGCTCAAAAGTAATTATTCACACTCATTTCCTTGATTCTTTTACATTAATTTATAAATATGTAAAATAATAAAATAATATGGTTAAGTATTGAGACTATTTCGACTAACTAATCACTGCTCTGTCTGTCTTTTGCAGGACAATTCCCCCTTATTGTTGTGTGGATCTTTATTCCTTGAGGACAGGAGAGATGGTCAAGTCCATACAGTTTAAAACGCCCATCTATGATCTGCATTGCAACAAAAGGTTCATTTACACACATTTTATCCTGCATTTTACCTTGTAATCATTTTAAATACAGCATTAGGCTAATGTACGCTTATATATATATTTTTCCAATGCAATCTCCATCCCTCGATGACCAAAGGATCCTCGTCGTTAGTCTTCAAGAAAAGATCGCTGCATTTGACAGCTGCACCTTTATGAAAAAGTTCTTTGTCACAAGTAAGTGCTTCACGTTATAGATGTGTCTGCTGAACTTGACCCTTCTTGACCTTCTGTAGTCTCCAACGCAACTTTTCTCTGCCTCTTTGATCTGCTGCTTGGCAAAACAGGAAACCTAGTCTTGATTAATCCTCTTTGCACACTGACTTCATTAAACCCACAAAACCCTCATACGTGCTGTCACACCAACAGAGACGTTTTTCCCTGTGTCACTCCTCACGGCTATACGATATCAAAGCTCATCCACAATTCCACAGGCCTGCTTGTTTACACAAATGGCTTTTGTTTTATAATGTGTCAGAGCTGGGCATTACCAGAAACGTCTGTGTCAAACTTCCATTGCTCACCGTAAACAATAACAAACAAATGCATATTGTCACTCAGCCCAGCTCTAGCACATAAAGAGCCATTTCCTCTCCTCCAGGCCGGACCACGGGCGAAATCCGAATGGCTTTTTTGCACGCTTGAAGGAGATGCTGTTCATAAGGTCCCAACTCTCATGTGTGTGACTGGTCTCTGGGTATGGTTTCAGAAGAATAAACTGTCCATGTCACAATGTGAAACCAGGCCTCCTGCTGCCCACTTAAGCAATCGTCTGTTGTAAATTGCCATTAGTGTTGTTTTAATGGCTCTCATTATCTATCCGACTTCCCTGTCAACGTCTGCGCCACAGGAAACGGGCATGGTCAATAACCCTTTACATCATTAATCGCTTCTCTAAAGCTTCCCCAACATAGGAAGAACAAGACTAGACTTATTTTTTAAAGCGACAGACTGAAGACCAGAGTTATTATAGTTAACCAAAAAGAAAAAGAAAAAAAAAGAAACTATAAAAAACTTCTTTAAGTTAATTTCTGAAATGTAAATCATTTTTTAAACGTTTTAACATGCTGCTAATTATAATTCAAAGCAAAGCTCATACATTTGGATTTGTGCCAAATGAGAGAGGTACGTGAGCCCAAGTGTATTTGTATAGCGCATTTCTCACACACTGGTAGATTTAGTTTTGCTTTAAATAAATTTGTTTAGACTTGGCTTTTATAACAAATGTTGTTTATAATGAATGCCACTATAATTTATGTTTGTTTTATACTTATATTTTTAATAATCCCTCTTCTTTTCTGAATACCGTTAAATTGAAAGGATTTGTTGTGGCGTGAGGGGAGCTAAAATACATGCTTATAGTGTTTATGATGTAATGTTTGTAAATGTTTAATTTTGTTACATTTCAGTATTTTTACATTTATTTCTCAATATAATGATAAAAGATGTGTTTGATGTAAGATGTTTTTTTTCTCTTAATGCATTTTTCCAGAAAATACAGTACTTGAAATAATGTAAATGTTAACTGAAAAATAAATATTTCAGCTAGTTGCCAAGGCAACATTTCTAATTTTCAATTAGAAAAAATTCAACCAAAATTAAAACAGAAATAAATTAATAAAAACTAATAAAATGCCAAAAACACATGAGGAAAAATTACTAAAACTAACTGAAAGTAAAATGAAAACAGAAAATAGCTTAATTCAAATTAATTCAGAAATTAACTAATTCAAAATAATTATAAAATCTATAATAGTATCTCAGTGATACTAAAATAACACTTCCAAAGACATCGAACAATACAAACTATGAAGCCTGTTCGTTTTTTCTCATTACTTTTATGTTATTTGGGGTGGAAGCGTTGAATGAGGTCTTCTCTTTCTGACTGTGAGATCACAAAACAATGGTGAAAATCCCCCAAGCCCAGCTCACAGGATGTGTTAAACATATGTTATCTTACTGCATTGGCTCCCTCCACTTTGGAAAGGCACAAAAGGCTTTTGCATTACTGCACTTGTGGCTTACCTCAGGCCCCATTCACCCGAGTTTCAGATCCTGACTCAACACCCTAAATTACTGTCTGCAAATATTTTATATTCACTCCATGCTATAAATTATTGTCAGAGCACTTCACACTGTGATATGCACTTGCATAACCTTTCTGTGTACAAAGACAGAGAAAGATGTTTGGTATTTCTGTGCTTATTTATTAGCTTTAAGTTTAATAATAAGTTTAATAATCTGATTTGCATTTGCTTGCATGTTTGCCCTGTTTGTATGTGATGTACAGCTACATTATCATGGCATGTGGGACTGATACGGATTCTGTCTGTATTGCTCTCATGGGTCAATCTGTCTGGCAGTTAATAAGCTGAGGAGCCATCATACTGTCACAAAATGCCATAACCCTTATTTAACCTCTGGTATTACTCCAACCCTAAGCTCTAGTAAAACACATTCTTGGGTGAGATGCTGCTATGATGGATTATTTATGTGTTCTTTGTGCTGTTATTTAGTTTATCTCTTATATCGGTGTGTTTTCCTTTGTGTTGCAGGCTGCTACCCCTGTCCTGGGCCCAACCTAAACCCCATAGCTCTGGGAAGCCGGTGGTTGGCCTATGCTGAGAACAAGGTAGTACAAACACCCAGTATTTTAAACCACTCCAGATGCACCCAAATACTTTTTTTTTTTTTTTTTTTTTTAAGAAAGACAACAACTATATTTAATTTATATTATTTTATCTGTAGTACATTTTGTTGTGCTCCTTCCAGATTTTTTTAAACACAAGAACATGCTCTTGTGAACCCCTAACACCTAATAGTCAGCCTAAGTGTTCAGGCCTTCCTTTAGACTTCCTTAAGATTTGTTGCTTTGCTTAACCCTAAATCAAACTACAGTCGTCTTATGAATGTTTTTATTTCTTACGAATTGCACATATCATTATAAAGACAATGCGTGTCATATCGATAGGAGCTAACAATATAATGTGACATATTATTATTAAGTAGACCCTTGATTCACCATCATTTATGTAATGGGTGCGGTTTGTTTGCCTTAGAGAGGCCACTTGCTGCCTAATAATGGACAGATGGGACAGTGTGTCTGGGCAAAGGTAATGAGTTTCTGGCCAATGGCAGCTGAAGTGTTGTATAGGTCAGGGACATGGACCCTAGAGGCAGTGCATCGTAGAATGGGGCTGAAGAACTGTTTGTTGTCCTAATGGCATCCTCCTCCTCTTACTCACCGTGCCCGCCTGCAGACGTCCTGGCGCGGGCTGTGACAGGCCTCTGTGGGTTAATGAGTGCTGGGGAGCTGAAAGGTTCTGGATGATAATGTGACTCTGTTTTGTCTCTGTGTGTGTAGCTGATCCGGTGTCATCAGTCCCGTGGTGGGGCCTGTGGAGATAATGCCCAGTCCTACACTGCCACTGTCATCAGTGCTGCTAAAGTGAGTATGCGCTTCTTACCGCTGCCACGACAAGTCACAGTCTTCAACACACGGCACAGTGGCGTCAAAAAGTATTTGCACGCCTAAGCCACAAATAAATGTCAGTTAGATAGAATAAGCACACTTTTATAGTAATGCATTTCTCTCACACACACACACACACACACACACACACACACAAAGGTATTACTTTCAAGTTATCTAACATTAATGGGTTATTTAGGGTAAAAAGTAGTACGTTTTCGAGAAAAAGCATTATTTATTTGCAGATGCCCCATGGTTTGATATTTTGTATCTAATGCAGTGAAATCCATGTATTTTGAGTGGCATTATTGTCCAAATATATTTTGGGGCCACAAGGATGCATTTGTCCACACGTTTGACCAACAAATGCTTTGTCCGAACTTGTGGCATGATTTATGCACAGATGATTTCAGTTGTGTCTTGCTGAGATACTTCTTGTCCTTATGAGCATTATTACTTTTGTTTATAAGATTAAAACCAGCCATTCTTTTGTAAAATCTGACATTTATAACTTAAGGCTTAGGATCCCCACTGCGTTTAAAAATCATTCAACATGGTGATGAAATTATCTGTTCATTACTCGGGCCAAACTTTGTAATGTTTTTTATTTAAAACTGTAGAGCTTCAAGGACATTCAGGATGGTCACCCTTTTATTTTTAAGATATGATTGGCCCAGTGATCCTTGCATCTTGAAAGCTGTGTCACATTAATTTATGATAAGCCTCTTTCCAAGGCAATGAATCAAACCGTACAGATTAAACCTTTTAAGTGTTAGCTGGCTCTTGCAATTGTGTTTTTTTCTTTGCACTTATTTGTGTATTTTCAGTCATGCTTTCTTTCCTGTTTGCTCTGCTCTAAATGAAGCTCATAATGTGTGCTGTTCCACTCACTTTATTCACCATATAGCATCCCAGAACAGTCTTGGCATAGTCCTCAGTGATTAAGAGACCCACTAGAGTTCATTTAGTGGTGCCAGAACCTTGGTGCTTAACCTTTCATATAGTTCCAGTCTCCTCTCCTGGTTGCTTAATTGATTTATTAAGCCCACATCTGTATTCCCCGGCCGCCGTCCTGATCACCGCCTAATGAGTGCTAACGGCTTACGTGAGAGAAATGCCATTAGCCTTAATGGCGGTATACATCAAAAAGAGCATAGTAAAGGTTAGCGGAGAGGAAAACAAGGTTAAAAAAGCCTTGATATGCAGACAAGCCGTCTGCAGACGGGACTGTGATTTATAACCATCTCCTCTGCTCTGACACACGGTCCCTGTGCTGAGTGGCTCTGAGTGCGGCCGTCTGGGGGCCAGGGGGCCATCTCCCATCAATCCTGTAACACAATCACAAAAAAGGAGGGGGAGGGTGCCTTTTGCAAAATTGAATTCCTGCAAGGCACAGATTGTGTAAATGAGTGCGATGTGACCAAAAGAGAGATGTCATTGTGCCAGCCACAAGCCTGCATGAGCGGGGTGCCCCAGGGCTCTGTTTTCAGACCTCTGCTGTTGTGAACTGTGTTTGGGGTAAGTGGATAGCACAGCTTAAGTAGGGTCTCCTCTAGTTCTCACTTAATGGAGTGAGCGTTGCTATATGTGTGTGTCTGTCTGCCAAGGCCCTGGAGAGCTTAATCAGGCATTCAGGCCAAGCGGCAGCATCAATACCTCGTGGCGCCTGTGTTTGTTGGGCCCTTTGGAGAATGCTCTGACAAGCCCACTAACTGACTGTGTGTAAATTGCTTTGCCCCATCAATTATTAAGAGAAGCGTTTGCCTCCTAATTGATCAACACTAATGTGTTTTCTAATCACTGCAGTTAGAGTTTTTAGTGCTAATCCAAATGGTCCCCATTGATCAGGGTCGGCGAGGGGAGGGGGTGGCCGACTGGTGGCAGACATTGCACCAACGGCCGTGCCAGAAATCGGACATCTCTTCTCAGCTCTCTTTTCAGAGTAAACATCGACACTCACTCGCACAAACACTAACCGTTAGCCTGCACGGCTAACTCACACACCTGTCTGTTGACATTGCCTCAAACAACACTGGATGCAAATATGTTTTTTAGGTCATTGCTCAACAAAATCTCTGGATGTGGAAACATTGTGGTATTGATTTGAGTGTTGCAATAGTACTTATGTTTAGCTGGCACAAATGTTGCTGAATGAAATGTTTTTCTTTTAACCCTTTGCATGAAGTATTGAATAATCAAAAATAGGTTTAATTTTACTTTAAAACATCTAAATCTAATTATTTTTTTTAAAAATGATGATATTAAAGATCCATCCATGCGATTAAATGTTAGTAGAAGATATTCCAGAGGTGCTGAGAACACGACACCTTGAACAGCATTTTGAGTTTCATTCTGTACATCATTATCATAAATCACTACAGCTTTTTGATTTTTAAATCTTTTTAAAGTTGTGTCTCTGTCTTCCTGTCAGACGTTGAAGACGGGCCTGACCATGGTGGGGAAAGTCGTGACCCAGTTCGCTGGTACACTGCCGCTACAAGAATACTTTTTGTGTGCAAAGAAAACAAAAATAACGACTTTATTCAACAATTTCTTCTCTTTCATGTCAGTCTTTGACGCGTGTTCACGAGAGTAACACAACACATGCATGTGGTGCTGCTGACTGGGCCTTGAATGTGTCAGTTGCGTTGCTGTCTATATGCAGGATCTGAAAGCTCTCAGATTTCAACAAGAAATACCTTAATTTGTGTTCCAAAGATGAATTTAATTGCCCAAACTTTTTTTTTTTTCGGTTTTAGTTTTTGTAAAAATTGAAATTTTCGTTTCTGTGTTTCGGTATTAAAAAACATTCTGTGCATCACTATCGTAAACCACTACAGCTTTTTGATTTTTAAATATTTTTAAAGTTCTGTCTTTGTCTTCCTGTCAGACGTTGAAGACGGGCCTGACCATGGTGGGGAAAGTCGTGACCCAGCTCGCTGGTACACTGCCATCAGGGGCACCCGACGAAGAGGCCACTGCCCATAGCGGTACCCGCCGCAGCCCTCACCAGCCTGGTGTGGTCACCATCATAGACACACACACTGTGGGAGAAGGACAGGTACGAAATGCTCACTTATACATCATAATCTGTACGTTTTTTTCCAGAGATGGAGGCTTGTGAATGATGGGATTTCTAGCACACAACAGTATCAAAACGGTGTGTCTGTTTATGGTACTTTCTTCACCCATCTGACCTTGATTCGAAAGAACCCGGATTCATTCCCCTTTTCTCTGAGATAAATAATCCATTAATCCCTTTCATAACTCATTCAGTATTAGTGCTTCTTGTGGCCCAAGGGGTTTGTCATCACCTTGTCATAAGAGCACATGCTTCACCGTTTGTTCACAGACTCCGTGCCAGGCCGCAGTCTCCTGATCTCATGATTTAGCCACTTCCTGTGACTGTTTTCCCCTTGGCTGGCACAGCCGTAGCCTTTTAGCATGAGATCAAAGGCAGGTCATCGCAGAAGCATTACGGAAAAGGTCTACTCTCTTTTTTTTCTTTTCCACCAAGGCCTGAATGTGTTAAAAGAGGACATGTAGGTGTGTGACACATGGTCACTTTAATAGAGCACTCAGTTTAAAGACTAACTTTAATATTTGCAGTTCTTCTGTTCAAGGATTTTTACTTGGAGAGAGGTTAAGTTGGAACAGGTTTTGCTATCCTGTTGATTCTGACCCATGTAAATAGATCCTCCCATTTAGTGGGCTGTTAAAAATGTGATGGTTAAACCCTCGATTCCCCAGAGAGTCTACCTTGACCCGGTCGACACGTTGCTCTCATTTGGAGGTGTGATTTATTCTGCTTATTTATAAACCTATACCACTCTGATTTGCCAGAGTCAACACTTTCTAAGAGAGGTTTCCTGTGTTTATATCGCCATCCGCTCCAAAGCCAACCTCACAAGAAGCTGCACTCCTCCCAAAGCGGACTAGTCATGCTTTCGATGTTCACACAAAACATCTTTATGGAATTTACTGTCAGTGCCATTCTCCCGTGACTCCAGCAGTGGTCTTTGCATTTTCTCTTGTGTTTTTTTGCCCCATCCACCCCACTCCCAGTCTCGGGGGACATGCCCAACCCCCTCATCATCATCATCCTCTGTATTTACTGCAAGAAGTTTATTTGCTCTGCACACTAATACTTTTTCGAAGCAATAGTATATTCCTGTACAGAACAACATTGTCTGTTTTTGCCCCTAGTAAAAGCGATCTGGTTTGTGTCACAGGGGCATTTTTTGCAGTCTGAAATAAATGTCTGGGTTTTAGAGCAAGGCTGTTTTCTGTTTGGACTGGATCCTATTAAAAGCTGCCTTGCTCCTTAATGCAACACTCCGCTAGATTTATCACTCTTCTCTCCGGCTGTCTCATGTCTGGACTTAGTTATAATCTCTTTCATGAGCAAACTTAACAGAGAATAGCCCCTTATGAGCAACACACTCTCCTTTTTCTTTCTTTCTTTTTTGCTTTCAACTTTGATAGGCTATTTGAAAAATATTGGAATTTATTTTGAATTTTAATATTTACACTCATTTTGGAGTAATACTTGATATTTTAAATGCAATAATAGTTTTACTACTTTTTGTTTTGTTTTGATTTTCATTTCTTTTATATTTGATTTATTAAGTAAATAAAGAAAAGTTAACATTGTCTTTATTTTGTTTTAAGTTTTATTTTTACTTTTTTTTAAAACTTGTTTTGTTTTTGTTTTTAATTTATTTAATATTTGGTTTATTGAGTAAATGAAGAAAAATGAACTCTCTTTTTGTTACTTTTTTGCTTTTATAAGTTTTTTATTGATCTCTTTATTTTTGATTACTCTTTATCCCTTCATCCCTATTTTCTTTTCTTTTTTCCTTTCCTTTCCTTTATTGATCTTTATTTTTGATTACTTTTTATCCCTTCATCCCTTTTCTTCTTTCCTTTCCTTTCCTTTCCTTTCCTGTCCTGTCCTGTCCTGTCCTGTCCTGTCCTGTCCTGTCCTGTAGTAATGTACATGAGGGGATGAATTACAGATTCACATTACATTTTTTTTTTTTTTTAAACTGGGAGCTATTCATCTCTTTTGGGTATCAAAATGTGAAGAGACGCTATAGAGTTTCTTCCTGCTGTGTTTGTTTTAACTCTTTCAACATGCCACTTTTTCTTCCTGTCTGATACAGAACTGTTGCAATGTGGGCTTTGGCAGAATATGCACATTGATCACAGTGGTCATGTGGGTTAGTCTTTATTTCTTTGAAGCCGTATTCATAAAACACACCAACATATTTGCGGACATCTTATAAAAATGTCTTTTTGAATTCCATAATGAAACTATTTTGCCGAACATGTGTCATTTAGAGCTAAAATCTGTGGAATGTGGATTAAAGTAGACACAAGGATAATTGTCAAGCACCCGCAAGAGGGCAACATGTTTAAGGCTGAATGACATGATGGGGAATGGATGATGATCATACAACAAAAAAAAGAACACATGGAAACCTTTTCAGCCCATTTTTTGCTCCATACAATGGAACACAACTTGGAACACACTTTGTTTTAAACAAAATGCCAAAACACATCTTTGTTAAACTGATTAAATCTTATGTAACTGTGAAGATCAGGTTGCACAGGCCACTGTAGCGCCAATGACCAGCTATGTGTCTAAAACACTGAGACGTGACGTAAACAAGAAGTCAGCCTTTATTTATGTAGCTCCATCAACTTACTGTAGCTTTATTGTATGTTTTTGGGTGTATATGTTTCAGGTTCTTGTTAGTGAGGATTCTGATGGAGAAGGAGTGATTGCGCATTTTCCAGCACATGATAAGCCTATATCCTGCATGGCATTTAATCCGAGTGGTAAGTGAACACCTCATTGTGATGCCTCACTGAGTCCTACCAAAGCACAAAACTCTAGGCACCTGGTCGGCAGGCGTTTACATGGTCTTAAAGGGGACGCGTTGTGGATATCCCTGCTTTTTTGTTTGATATGCAGTGCAGATTTATTCTGTTCACAATGCAAAGTTCTCTTCCTTGTCCACCCAGACCATTTATATAAACCAAACTGCAATGATATTGACCTGCTCTGATAACCAACACTGTACTGCACTGGTATGTGGAGATAAGCCAATCATAAAAGAGTGCATTTTCATATAGATGTCTTAAAGGTACAGTAGCAGTTTAAGTGGTAGTTAAGATTCTGTCATCTTGTACTTTTCTTTATGTCTTTCCAAACCTGTAGCCTATATGTCTTGCTTTTGTGGAACACAACTAGAAGTATTAAATGGTGATGTTGACTTCTCTTTTCCATATAGTCTTTCAAAGTTAAATTTAAAATTTAACAGAATTTTTATTTTTGGTTGAGCTATTCCTTTAATGCTAAGGGTGAAAAATGGACCTTTGACTGTTTTTAATGCAGGAAAGGTTGTCTAAGATTAAAAGGGGACTTCAAGGGGAAAAAGGAATGATACAAAAGTGTGAAATAAGGCCCATTTGAATAGGAGATGGCGGTGTCAGTCATGTCACCTTTATACATGTAACCTCATCTTGTTCCCTAAGCGTTACTGTCTGCTTGGCCCTTAAGATCTGTTGTTCTGAAAAGCAGCCATTGTGTATCTTCTGGTGAATCTGCCCCCAGGCACATCGGTCATTGTCATTTCTCCCTCATTTTCTTCTCTATCCATCCTTCTTTTTCTTTCCTCTTGTCTCTCCTTAACACGTAGTGGAATATTTAGTACTCATTGATCTTGTTCATGTCTGTCTCTCTTGAAGTGTATTGAGGTCAACAAAGCCCTCGGTCTCTTTCAGATGAAATACCCCAAGCACTGAACAGGTACAGTTTCAAACCTTAAAGATGAGAAGAGCTGTGCTTTTCAGAAGGCGTAGGACGGGCTCATAATTATTGGCACATTTAGTCAGCCACGTCACAACATGCTTTACTCATCATAAGGGCCACTATTCATTAATGCTGGATTTTGCACTTTGAGTTTTATTTATATTCAGGATTATTTTATTTTATTTTATTTTTTTAGGATTCTCTCCTGCTTGAGCACCATGACTTGATGCCACTAGGTCATGGCTCCAACCACTTCTTGGATTTTATGGAAAAATACAGTAAAACCATGGCAGCATTGTCCTCAACCTGCCCTTGAACGAGCATCTTGGCTCATTTTAATAGGCAGTTATCTGATCACTTTTCAATTTTACATATAGTCATGTTTGTTTCTCCGGATATCCAGTCCAGTCACAATGGCTCATTGTAAGGTGCGTGTTGCAGATTGAGAGTCCTTTTAATAAGAAGGTGCTGAAAGCTAATGATAGCCATTGCCCTAAGTGAAATCCTTCACATATCTGACCTTACTAAGGAACACTATGGGAGACTCCATTGAGGATGAGTCATTGTGTACATAAGTATACACCTCCAGGTGCGGATGATTTTTGCATAGGGTTACTAAAAGATTGTAAGGAAATGGTGCATATCTTAGTAGATCAAAACAATCCTGATGGATGTTCTGTATCAACCGCACAATATTGAACTGATGCCAAGCCATGCCACAAAACTCGTGCCTGTGAGCCATGATTGAGCTTGGGTGCAGTAATATTATAAAGAGGATTTATGCAAAGAGTAGTTTAGAACAAGTAAATATAATTGATTCATTTATGATTGATTAATTAATTAAAATATTTTATTTATTATTATAAATAAAAGATTGTGGAAATTGACATTGATCTACTTTTTGTTTAATTTTAATTAAATGTATTTTTTTATTTAAAATAGATTTTATTCTAATTACAGCACTGTACTGTTATTGTCATTGTCTTATTTGTATCAAATTATATCTGTTTCTATTTTAAGAGAAACATTTGAGAATTTTTTTTATTCAATACATAAATTAACTATTAAGTCAGAAAATTGTCTATTATGTATAAAGTCATTGTCTATTAAGAGTAATTGCTGAAGTTAAGTTATTATCTATTGACACTAACAGCCTTGTTTGCTTTTAGTATTTTTTTCTGTATTAATTATTTATTACTATTAATTATTTCTTCTCAGTTTGGAAGCCCCGTGTTCTTGCCTTTTAATTTTACTGCATTATTGAACCATTGCATTCTTTAGATTTGTGTATAAAATGAGGGAATAAAATGCAGTGAATTACACCCTTCTAATTAGATTGTCCTGACCTCACTTTGGACAGAACATGTTTGTCTCTAGGTGGCGCTATTGGTTAACCTTTAGACCTCAGAGTAGCAAGCCACCTTTTCCTCATTAGCATGTGTGGAGCAGGAGGTGGAGGTGAAGTCAGTGTCCCATCACTATGGTCAACTGCACTGGAACTTTCAGCCCAGTGGTTCTTCTATCTTTATGAGTCAGTTAGAGAAAAGTGCTATGGATCACAGAGCAAAGCAAACATACAGTCAACAATCAAGGCCTGCTCAGGGACATTACTTCTACAAATATTAGTGCGAATGTGTGTTTTTCTTAGATCAACAAAGAATTGAAGGTCTCAAAAAAAAAAAACTAATGTGACTACATAACCATCCTATCAAACTGAAATGCTGCAGAGAGAATTATGTGAACGGCTCAACAATAATGATGGTGTAAAGTCATGTGTGAGAGACACATTACCAGTATTATCAAAAAAGTGTGATGATGATAAGCAATCATCATGCCTTTTTTTTTTTTTCAGCAAAAACAGTTTTTTTTTGTTTTGTTTTTTTTGACACATACAATGTTGGTAAACATATATTCATGTTATATGTCATTATTTATTTTTTTATATGTACACTACCACTCAAAAGTTTGCAGTTGGTGTTTTTGAAGTGTTTTTGAAAAGACACTTATGCTCATCAAGGCTGCATTTATTTGATCAAAAATATAGTAAAAACAGCAAGACGTGAAATTATTTCTATTTTAATATGTTTTAAGTGTCTTAAGTGTCACATGATCATTCAGAAATCATTCTAATATGCTGATTTGTTGCTCAAGAAGCATTTCTTATCAATGTTGAAAACAGTTGTATTACTTGTTTTTTCTTCTTTTTTGTAAACCGTGATGATGCTTTTTTTGTCTAAGGACTCTTTGATGAATAGAAAGTTCAAAAGAACCGCTTTTATTTGAAATCTTGTGTAACATTATTAAATGTTTTTACTGTCACTTTCAATCAATTTAATGGCTTAATAGGAGTGTTAAATACAAATCCAGCCAGGCTAACTGAAAAAGACTTATTGTTAAATCCTGACCTGTGTTTGAGAATCACAGCTTTTGGTTCGGTCTATCTCATGTGAAGGCTTGGTGTAATGTTTTGGTTACTCTTTCACTGAAGATTATTGTCCCAGCCTAGGGAGGCCCCAGCTCTGGTCCCCTGAGTGCTGAGCCCCCAGTGTGGCCCTTTGTCAGGCGTCCTCTGCCCTCATGAGGAGTGTGCTCTGGGGCGGCTTGTTTTAGATAACAGTGGGGTGCTGTAAACTTCAAACAGCTTGACCTTCACCTGCCAGCTTTATTCAGAAATAATGGGATGTGTCTGTTATCACCTCATTTGCTTGGGCATAAATCGAAAGGGCTATAATAATTGTTTTGAGTTATGAAATTGTTTGGCACCAGGAAGGCTGGAAGAAATCCCCGTAGTCCCCTATACAGAAAAGAGCCTCCAGATATGCTGACTAACAAGATCAGGCTAAACTTTCCCTGAGACCGGTGTTCACATTCATGCCGTAATTTACGTTCTTGACATCATTAACACATGATCAAAAACAGCTCTTTGAGATTTGCAAGAAATGCCTTCTCGGCACTGTGAAGAAACATGAACGGCAGCTTTAAGTGAAAAGTTTAGCCTCGTACATCTAGCCTGACTTGTCCCAAATTAACAGTGTTGAAGCCACAGTGGAAAGTGTCACTCCGGCCACAGGGCCGACCACAGCTCCATCCAGACGGTTTTGATTTCAGAGAGGGAAAAGGCCAACTTGAAAAGAATCAATGTGGTGACTTGACATTGGAGGAACGTACAAACCCCCAAAAAAAAAAAAAAAAAAAAAAAAACCCCAAAAAACAAAAGCACTTATGTAAGAAATCCAACTCAACAGTGTGTGTTGGACGAAAAACAGAAGGGCGAGGGTAGAAAATGGCAGCCAGTCGGGTAGCTGGCGCTTGTGCTGTGGTGTTGGAGCTTCTATTCATAGGCACATAATTAAAGGATGTTGCTCTGAACAGCGGCGTGCAGGACTCACTTTAGCCAGAGTATCTGTTTTTCACTCCTTGTTCTCTGCTGATCTCTCCTCTCCCCTTTGAGGATGTTTCTGCAAAGTTTAAATGGCGCTAAACTGGTCTTAATCGATAGCAGAGTGAGCGATTGGTGTAAGGGTACGGTCGCGTGCAGTACGAGGGTGGACAGGTCTCACGGCCCATGAGACACTGTAATTCCACTCAATCACGGAACTGATAAGCATCAAGGAATCTGCTCTTGCGAGACAGCTTAGTTTAGCTCAGTTCATTCTGGCAAGTGTTTGCTTGCGGGTTCTTAAGGGGAAGGGTGAGCTGAAGTGCCTGTTTGTCTGTTGCGGATGTGGCCTTTCTTGCACCCACTCCTATGAGTCACTCACAAACACCCAGCTGGAGTGTTGTAGATTTTAGATTCATGTTGTTTAGAAAACAAAATGTATAGAAAAGCAAAGTTTGATTTATATATATATATATATATAAAAAAAGGAAATAAAAAAGATATATTATAAATGACCAAAGTTACACTTATAATGTGGTCCAAATATATATATATATAAGGTTATGGTGTAAAAAAAAACATTAATTCATTCATTCTTTCATTCTTTAATGATGACAGGGACATCATATGCAGTTCTCAGTTTGA